TGTACTGGTTTTTCCGAACTCTATTCTGAAGTGCAGTTATTTCGATTTCAAAACCCCAGGACAATTATGCAGAATACTACTGCCAAAAATGTTACAGGTTTGAACGTTTCTCCGGAACTTTTGTGGTTGGGGCTTTGGGGTCTTCCTGGACCCCCTAAGGTGAGGGATGCCCATGTTTCTGTTTGAGCCTGCCCACATGATGTGGGGACACCCCTTTGAGTGTGCAGTGGCCAGCGAGGCATCACCAGTCCCAGCCAGGGAGAGTCCCCACCAAGGACAGAAGTCCTCGTGGTCAGCTCAGCACTGCCCACGGACCCAGGCCCTGCCTTGGTCTTCATGCCCCAGGGCTTTGCCTCTAGAGCTTCAGGGTGGCAGGTTTGGGGGGCCCAGGCATGCATGCAGCTCAGGGCATGCTCTGGGCTCAGTCCCCAGGCTGGGTCGACTGCCCCAGGACCGCCCCACTCACAGTGGTGTGGTGTTGACCAGAAACCTCTAGCTCAGGGCCCAGTGGAGGTGGGGGTGGGGGGGTGCCTCATCTGATGAAACCGGAGGGCATGGGGGCGGCAGTGGGCGAACCTGCAGACATTGTATTCCCCAGCGCACATACCGGATCCCCAAGGAGGTCCGCGTGGAGCCGCACAAGTTTGCGGCGGAGCTCATCCACCGCCTGGAGGCTGTGCAGCGCACACGGGAGGCTGAGGAGCAGCTGGAGGAGCGGCTGCGGCGCGTGCGCATGGTGCGTGTGCTGACGTGCACGCCGGCCATTGTGGCTGTGCCAGTGTGGGCCTGTGTGCGCGTGTGCTGGGTGTGGGGGTGCCGGTGTGCAAGTGCACCTTGGTGAGTGTGCTGCTGCAAGCACGGCAGCGTGCACGTGTGTACAGTCTGTGAGTGTGGGGTGCACGAGCATATGGAGTGTGTGTGTGTGTGGGGGGTTGTGCCTGCCCCCGTGCCTTTGTTTGTACATGTGCCTGTGTGGACAAACATGCACATTTGGGGTGGATATGCTGTCTGGGTGTGTGGATAGGAAGTGTATGTGTGTCAGTGGTAGCCTCTATCTATATATTGTGGTGTTTGGGTGCTTATCAGTGGGGAGCTGGGGCGATGGTGAGTGTGTGGGTGTGTTTGTGCTGAAGGTGCCCACAGACAGATGGTGGGTGCATGTGCATGTGTGTGCATGGAGCACCGGAGCAGGTGGACAGTGTGTACATAGGGGTGGCAACTGTGTGCGATTGTGAGTGGGGCCGTGTCTGGTGCAGTAGATGGTGAGTGTGTGCTATCAGTCAGTGCTTGTGTACCAGGGCCCACACGCATGTGCATTCGTGTCCACAGGGCCGGGGCTTGTGAGAAGTGTGTACACATGCGTGACTGTGTGAGTGTGGAGGAAGGCAGGTAGCGAGTGTGCCTTTGTGGATGTGGAGGACATGCACATGTGGGGGTGGGTGGGCAGGAGCCTGGGGAGTATACATGTGTGGGCAGGGAGTGCGTGTGCATGTGTGAGTGTATATGTATGTGTGAGTGTGGAGGACAGGCAAGTGGGGGGGTGTGCACAGTGGGTGAGTGAATGTGAGGATATTTGTGTGCAGCAGGAAGGTGGGTCAGCAGTGTGTGCATGTGTGGAGGGCTGGCAAGTGGCGGTGTGCACTGTAGGTGGATGTGGGTGTGCCTGGAGGAAGGCTGGTGGGTGCACTGCCATGTGTGTGAATTGTTGGGGGTCTCCTTCGAGGTAAGTTCGTGCCCAGGGTGTGTGTGTGAGTGCTTCACGGGGTATCTGTTCCACAGGAGGAAGAGGGCGAGGACCTAGACGGGAACCTTGGTGCCCTGGGGCCAACCCACAAGCTGCCTCCTACTCAGGCCTGGCACCACTTCCTGCCACGCTACGCCGATGCAAGCTGTGCAGGGCCCCGGGACGCGCACGAGGAGGACCCCGAGAGCATCCTGGATGAGCACGTGCAGCGCGTCCTGCGCACTCCCGGCCGGCAGTCCCCAGGGCCTGGCCATCGCTCCCCTGACAACGGGCACTTGGCCAGGCTGCCCGCGGCACTGGGCGGAACAGCTGGGCACAGCAAGCACTCAGCCAAGTCAGGCACCAAGCTGGACCCAGCCGGCCTGTACCACCACCGGCACGTGCACCACCACCTGCATCACAGCGCCACCAAGCCCAAGGAGCAGCTGGAGGTGGAGGCTGCTCGCCGCGTCCAGAGCGGCTTGCCCTGGAGCCCTGAGCCGCACGGATATGCCCCCAAGCCCCGCGGCGGCTTTCCTGAGAGCTCGGGTGCAGCCCCTGCCACCACTGACAGCCTGGGCTACGGGTGAGCTGCAAGCTCAGTGGGGCGGGACACTTGCTGGGTTGGCAACACTGTAGTTGTTTAGCACAAGGGCCACTGCCTACGGTGGCCACACCCCAGGGGAAGGACACATGTGTCCCCACCGCTGGCCTTCAATTCCTGTCTCGGCGTCCACCTGAGTTAGCTGCTGAAGGGGCACTCAGGACTGGGAGAATGCCACTGGACACTCTAGCTGGGCTCAGGAGCAGAGCTGGCCCCAGCGAGGAGGATGGGGGGCATTCCATGTGACCACAGTCTCCTCTCTGCAGCGGGAAGGCAGGTGCATCCAAGAGGACTGCCAAGAAGGCTGAGACCAGCCGGGGGGCAGCCACTTCGGAGGTGCCGGGCTCACCCGAGGGTGCAGAGAAAACGCAGACCATCCTGCAGTGGATCATCGAGGGCGAGAAGGAGATCAGCCGCCACAAGAAGGCGGCTGGCCACGGGTGAGGGGTGGGGCCTGGCTGGGGGCGGAGCACAGGTGGGAGAGGGAAGCCAATGCTAAAAGGTTGGGTGCCGAGACAGGGCCATAGGGCTGCAGGATGAGATGGGCAAATGGAGCTTGGTCCATTTGCAGGTCGTCCTCCCATAGGCCAGGTGGCGCCCCTGTGAGGGTCAGTGCTTGTGGGGCCCTCATGACTGACCTGTGTTGGCTCTCCAGCACCTACACCCCTGACCCTGCCCGCTTGCCTTCTCCCCCAGGCCTTCAGGGGCCAAGAGGCAGCAGGCTCATGAGAGCTCCAGGCCCCTGTCCATCGAGCGCCCCGGTGCTGTTCACCCCTGGGTCAGTGCCCAGCTTCGGAACTCCGTCCAGCCCTCCCACCTCTTCATCCAAGACCCCACAATGCCCCCCAACCCCGCCCCCAACCCCCTAACCCAGTTGGAGGAGGCCCGCCGGCGGCTGGAGGAGGAGGAGAAGCGGGCCGGCAAGCTGCCTGCCAAGCAGAGGTACAAGCAGGGCTTGGGGCGGCGGCCTGCGGGGCTGGAGGGGCGGTGTTCCTAGCAGGGTAGTGGCCTTGGTGCTGGATGGGGCGCCTGCAGGCCGCACCCCACTGGAAGCCTAGCTCTGGCTGTCTCCCCCAGGACGAAGTCGCAGAAGAAGGCGGGCGGTGTGAGTGGCCCCTCGTGTGACAGCATTGTTGTGGCCTACTACTTCTGCGGGGAGCCGATCCCCTATCGGACCCTGGTAAAGGGCCGAGGGGTCACCCTGGGCCAGTTCAAGGAGTTGCTGACCAAGAAGGGCAGCTACAGGTAGGTGCAGCCGCCTGGTGGAGGTGGGGGTGGCTGTGGCCTGGCCCTCACCGCCTGCCCTCTCCCCGCGGCCCGCAGATACTACTTCAAGAAAGTGAGCGACGAGTTTGACTGCGGCGTGGTGTTCGAGGAGGTGCGGGAGGACCAGGCCGTGCTGCCCGTCTACGAGGAGAAGATCATCGGCAAGGTGGAGAAAGTGGACTGAGCACGCTGCCGCTGCTGCTGCTGCTGCTGCCCCGCACCAGCGCTCTGCCTGGCCGGCTGCTCCTGGGCCCACAGGTCTCCCTGTGGAGCTGAGGAGGGAGCCTGCCATCGCCATAGCAATACTGAGGGCCTGCCCAGCAGGACAGCCCCTCGCCGGTCATCAGCCCGGCGGTCCCTCTGCTGCTAGCGGGCCCTGCCTGACCCTGGAGGCCTTGCCTGGGGGCGGGGGGCCTCGCCCTGGGGTGTCTGCTCCCCACCAGGGCCCCGCCCATGGGCCCGTCACGTGTACATGTCACCGAGTGCCTTCACAGCCTGTCCCCTGCCTGCCACTGTGTGACCGCGGCGGTCCCGGGGCGCCCCGCGCCCATGTAAATATGTACATTTCTCAGGCAGGGCCATGGGCCGCCGCGCGCTCGTGCACTCACTTGTACAATGGTCTTTCAAAGGTACTTGGATAATAATGAAATAAAACGTTTGTAAACCCCTGGGCCCAGGAGCCAGGTGCTGTGGTCCACAGGCTTCCTTCCTCCCCCAAGGCACCCCTTCTTGGGGACCTCCGGCCCTGGGGGCCGTGGTGGCCTCACCCTTTGCCTGCCCCGGCGCCTGAGTCAGCATGCACATGCACAGGCAGGGCAGAAGTCTTTATTCTCTGTGGGGCGGCTCCATGGACAGCACGCAGGGTAGGGGGTAAAGGTCATGGAGGGGAGCACCGGGTGCAGTTACAGCTCCTCTTTGGGTGGTGTGGTGGCATTGGCCATTTCCTGTGGAAAGGTCCGAGATGTGGGCTCAGACACTGCCCAGAGCCTGAGCCCTCAACCCGCTCATTCCAGATGGGGCAGACCCTGGGGGTTGTGGGGGGTAGGAGGGGGAGGCACCCACCGGGGAGGGGCCTGGGGGTTCCTCAGCGAGTTCCTCCTCTGGCAGCTCGCCTCCATTGTCCAGGAACTTGGAGAAGGTCTCCAAGTCTCTGGCGCTTCTATATTCAACCACCTGTGTGGATGAGAACCATCCCCATCCAGCTGTGTCCCCCAGGCAGCCTCCCAGGGCCTGCCCATTGAAGCTCCGCCCCAGGCACACCCCTCTGGACCCTACCCCTCCAAGGCCCTATCCTGGCCACAGGCCCTGCCCCATTCCAGTGGGTGTGGGGGACCCACTTCTAGCCTTGTCCCCTCAGGCCAGTGAGGACCAGAGGTGCAGCTTGGCGCAGGGAGGCTGTTTTCCCCTTACCTTCCGCCCGGGCCCCGCAGGGAAGTACTTGAGCGTGGGGAAACCTTGCACTGCAAAGGCCTCTAGCTCATTGGCTGTGGCGTCCAGTTCTGCGATGACCAGGTCCTGGCGGTCCTTGTACTTCTCAGCCAGTGCCTCCCAGGCTGGGGCCATCTCCTTGCAGTGGGTGCACCATGGGGCGTCTGGGGTAGGGGCGTAGACACTGGCCTTGAGGGGCTGCCTGTTTATATCCACCCACTTCCCACCCCACCGCCGCCCTGCACTCACAGAACTTGACAAACACGTTCTTGGTCTCATCGAAAGCCACCTGCTCGAAATTCTCGCCAACCAGGGTCTTGACTAGTTTTTGGTCCCAGTCGGGGGGCACCTCCTGGCTCAGGCGGTAGGGCTGGGGGTTGTGGCAGGCGAGGCGTTGGTGGGCTCTCTGCAGGCTGGGGGCACCTGACCCCTGGCCCTGCCCCTCTCCAAGCCCAGGCAGGATACCAGCACTGACCTTGACCTCACCATTGAGGACTGAGTGGCAGAAAGCCGAGACAGAGGTGGCAGTGACTGGCTCCCTGCCAGCAGGTGCGTACTTCTTGGTGGTCTCCACATTGATAAAACGCAGGGTGGGGGCCTCCTGCGCCTTCATGCCGAAGTACTGCAGCACGTGGTCATTATCCGCATCCACATTCACCGCCACGAACAGCACCTGGCCAGCAGGAGTCAGCACTGCACACCCCATGGCCACCCCACCCCTCCCTACCCCCTTGTACCTGGCCCCGGAATGGGGGAGCTGCCTCCCGGAATCCTCCTAGGAGCTCCCTGTGTGTGGCCAGCGTCTGGTTGATAAATAGCAGCAGGTGGTTGAGGATTCTGGCCGTGAAGATCTTGGGGGATGTCTGGGGGAGGCAGGTGAGCCTGTGGGGCTGCTGCTTGGCATCCCAGCTCCAGCTGCCAGCCCGAATCTGCAGACAGACTCACCTGACTGTTGAACTCTGTGACCAAGTGCAGGCTGTGTGTGAGCAGGAAGCGAGACAGATCTGCCTGGTCTAGGCCCAGCTCGTTGTCCACAGGGAAGTCAGCCCGGCCCTCATCAAACTGGGCAGCGTTGTTGGTCAGTGGGAGATAAAGCCCCCACCCGATGCCTACTCAAGCCCCCCAGCTCCAGCCAGGACCCCTTGCTCCCGCACTCCCCCTCCCCCTGCCCCAACCTGACCCAACCTTCTTGAAGAGAACCACGGTGTCCTGGGTGAGACCATATTTCTGGAAGAGCTGTGGCCGGTCAGTGAGGCCAAAGGTCAGGTCCAGTGCATCCTGGGCCAGGGCCAGGAAGGCAGCCACGTCCTCGTCCTGCAGGTCCTGTGGCCCACGCCCATGAGACTGACTGGTGCCGTGGGCCTGCTCCCAGCCCCCTGCCACTGGCCCCCCACTTACCTGGAAGAAACCGATGACCACAGTGTCCTGCGCATCTATGAGGGCCTGGGCACTCTCCTCGTCCTCCAGCTGGGTGGCACTGGGACCCACTCGCCGTTGCAGCCACTTGACAATGCCCTCCGCTTCCCGGGGGCCTGCAAGGGGCCCACTCAGCTTGGGCCTGTTCTTGACCACAGTGGCCCACCCACCCACCCCGTGCTATGCCCCAGCCCAGGCCCCAGTCCCCCCACACCTGTGTATTCCTCTGGGTGTGTCCGGTTCCCATCTCGGAAGAACCTGAGTGTGGGGTACTCGGTCACTCCGAACTCCTGGGCCAATTCCTGCTCTGCGGGCCCATCCACCTTGGCCAGGGTGGCCTTCACCGACTCTGCCGCCAGCAGTGTGGCCGCCTTGCTGTACTCAGGGGCCAGGGCTTTGCAGTGCCCACACCATGGAGCATCTGGGGGAGCGGGCCAAGAGAGGCCCTCAGCGCCTTGGCCCCAGCCTGTGGCCCCTGGTGTCTCATTCTTCAGGGGGCAGGAGTGTCTGGCCACACACCCTCCTCAGTAGCCACCTGTCTTGGCCATAGCTGAACCCAGACACAAGGACCAGATAGCTGACCCCACTCCTGGACTCTCACCTCAGAGACTGGGGTCTTAGAACAGCAAATTACCAAACCAAGCCCACTGAGGTCAAGTCCATTCTGATTCCCCAGAAGTGATGCTTTCGGAGGGCAGAGAAAGGCCCCTGGGGTCTCAGAGGCTGTAAGCTAGCCTCATCTCTTCCCCGTTGGAGTGGCTGCTGCATTCAAACCACCGACTTTCCTGTTCCCAGTCCAATGCTTAACCCACCCCTTAACCCCAGGCTCCTAATAAGGGTCTGGAGAGCACAGGTCCCCAGGTGATACTGGTCATGTGGCAGGCCACGGGTCGACACCAGCCAGAATCCTTTCTCAGCTGACCCTGGGCAGAGTTTGCAGGCCTGCCCTGGGATCTGCTGGCCACTGGATCAGAGAGGACAGCAGAGCTGAACCCAGGGAGCCAGTACACAAGGAGGCATCCCCCACCCGCCCCCCGCCCCCACTCCATGCCTGTATACCCAAGCCAGTTCAGCCCCAGCATCCCCGACTCACAGAACTCCACCAGCAGGGCTGGGTGCTGCTGGAGGGCCAGGCCCAGGGTACTCCTGTTTAGTACCAAGACCCCATTCTCCTCAGGGACCCCCTCAGGCACCTGCTCCTGTCCCCTGTCCCCAGGCTCTGCTCCCTCCCCCTGAGGGGCAGAAGCCCCGAGGAGCAGCAGCAGCAGCAGCAGCACAGCGGGCAGCACCTGGGAATGCATGGCGGTGCCCAGGCTGTGGGGCGGGTGCAGATAAGGGGCCCAGGGGCCAAGCAGTGGCTGCCACGTGGCACCCAGACCAGTCCAGGGGGAGATAAGGCCGCAAGGGCAGCTCCTGCGGCGTGGAGGGGGAGGCAGAAAGAGGCGACACAAGGGGACAGAGGCAGGTGACGTTTAATGGGAATGTCAGGGAATCTCGGAGGGGGCGAGGGACCTGAGCTCCCACTGGGGGACTGGGGACTGCATGGCGGGGAGGGGTGGTGGTGTCCCTGTGCTGAAACCAACCAAGGGGATGGGGATCAGGGGCCAGCAGGCAGCCGGAGGGTGGCAGGCTCAGCCCTGCCAATCCTTGCAGATGCAGAGACCCCACTCCCAGGACAGGTGGGCCGTCCGGTCGTCGTCCGTGAAGCAGGATGAGACCACGTAGGCCCCTCGAGCCAGCACGCCCCTTGGCACCTCCTCCACAGGGGTCAGGAACTCGTATTCCTGGAAGCTCGGGCCGTAGCTGCCTACCATGTGCACGGCCTTGTCCACTGCAGGGGGACGGGGGGATGTTGAGGTCCTCAGCCGCCCTGGTGAGGCTGGTCCTTGGCCCACCCTCTTTCTTCTTCGCCCCTCACCCACCAACCCTCCATCCCCACCCTTACCACGCAGCCCCTTTCTGTAAGTGTGATGCAGGCACTTGAGGCCACAGACAATCTCGTTGTTGACCTGTGGGACACAGAATGTTAGGGCCTCCTGGGGGCTGTCCCCCTCCCCCACAACGTGCCTTCCTCGACACCCCCCCACCACATACACACACAGTCACTGAGATAGTTTATTGTGCCAGCCTAGCCAAAGAACCCTGTCTAACACAGTCACCCTCACCTTGAAGGTGATTTTAACTCTGTAGTCCACACCCTCCTTCAGGACAAACACGTGGTCTTTCAGCACAGTCAGGTCTCCTGTGGGGGCAACAGCGCCAGGGATCAGAGCTGCCAGGAAGGCTGAGGAGCCCCCAGGACACAGGATGGGCACAAGGTCCTGGAGGCCACAGTGAATGGGTTGGGCCTCTAGCCCAGAGAGCAGCGTGTGTGGCTGACAGTGCCTCCGAGGCCCCGCCTGGGGCGCCTGGTACAGATGTCCTTACCTGACAGGTCCATGGTGATTGGCCCTGGTGCTTGTTGGGACATCAACGTCAGGCGCATCACCTGCACGTTGGGCAGGCTGGGATCTGAGGGGGAAAATGACTGGTCACGGAGTCTCGGGCACCTGCCCCCTGCCCCCCAGGCTCCCAGGCCGTCCATACCCTTGGCCGGCAGCAGAGGGCCCAGCAGCGTCTGCTTGTACTTGCTCAGGCTCTCATTGTCTGTGTCCAGCTCCTGGAGTTCTTGAAGGGTCTTCTGTCCTGGGGCCTGGTACCCCAGCACTGCCTCATCAAGTGCCTCGTCTGGTGGCAGCTGCCCACCTGCCTTGTCTGTCATGAGGACTGGGGTCCAGGGAGGGTGTGAGGGCAACCACAGCCAGCTCTTTGGTCTCCTGCCCCTCCCACAACCCACAGGAACCAAAGAGCAAGATAGGGTGGGCCAAGTGGCCAGCTCCCCACACTAGCCCCTCTGGAAGGGGTACTGGGCTCAGAGTTGGCCCTATATGTCCCAGGTACTGGGCCAGCACCAGCTATTCACCCCGAGACCCTCCCTAACTGTGAAGCAAGGTGGGGGAACAAAGACCCCACGTGGGGATAGTCCCCAGCAGCCAGCTACCTCTCTGCGCTGGGCAGTGACTGGCTGTCCATCCTAGAGCAGAAATTCTCTTATGTCCACATTCTGTGGGTCTCTGGTGCTCTGAGACTCCCAGTGCTCGTGGTCACCTCTTGCAAGGCCCTACATTATCACAGGAATCCCTGGTGCTCTGGGCCACCTCCCATAATGCCCTAGGACATCTTTGAACCCCCCACCCCCACCTCCCTCATGCTTTGGGTCACTTTCCATAATGCCCTAGGATAAACCTGCCCCCACCCCCATTGCTCTAGGGAACTTCCCACAATACCCTAGGACATTATGTACCCCCTTCCAATGCTCTGGGCCACTTGCCCATAATGCCCGTGGTGCCTTGGGGCAGTGGACAAGGGTGTACATGGCCCCTTCCAGAGTGGCTGGAACAGGGGTCTTCTCAAGTCCCTCCCCATGAGCCCCCAGGCTCCTTCCCACTCCCCTTCTCACATCCCAAGCCGGCTAAGCACCAGCCGGGACCTAAGGTGGTGAGGGGCTCCCTGAGCCGACTCCCACCCTGAGAGAATCCCCCCTGCCTT